TGGAAAGGGGCAACCGATTACAAGGATCTACATGTGACCTCCTCCCTGGGGGATGGACAAGGATGGAAGCTCAAGGAGTCAGACCAGTTCCTCAGCTACAGGGTTTGTGGCCTGGGAAGAATTGCTGTCATAAAGAGCCTGGACCCATCTGGTCTCTCCACAGACCCAGCAGCCTCTCCAGACCGTCTCTTCTGCACTGGACTCTGAAGTGAAGGGCGCTCAGCCCCTGCCCTGCCGGTGTTTGACATGGAAGAAGTGACATGGGGTCTTCTTCTCCTGCTGACTTGCCTGCCTGTCTTGAAAGCCAACAATATTGACAAAAACAGTCCCTTCTATTATGACTGGGAAAACCTCCAGCTTGGCGGGTTGGTCTGGGCAGGAATTATGCGCATAGCTGGCATCACCTTTGCTTTGAGTAACAAATGCAAATGCAAGTCAGATCCCAACGACAACCCATTCCCTGAGAAAGCTACTCCACTTATCAACTCAGGCTGTGAAAGTCACTGCTAAGCCCAGGGCCAGCTTCATGGAGCTCCAAGACCTGTCCTTCTCTCTCAAACCCGGTCCTTCCTGTCTGGGGATCTTAACCTCCAAAACGTTCTTCTCTCATTATGACTTTTATGCTCCTTTCTAATGGGAGGGGTGGGGGTGGGGGAGCTATCCAAATCCTCTTTGTAAATTAAAATGTTCTTGTGCTTCCTTTAAAAAAAAGAGAGAAACAAAGCCAGTGACACTCTTTTCTGTGTAAAAAATAACTTAATATCACAAAATAATTTTACATCAAGAAGGCATCTCTGGCCGGTCCAACTGAAGTCCATGGGTCGGAGCTGCAGGTTGAGGACCCAGAATGGTGCAGCGGGATGTTGGGAGAGCCCAGGCCAGAGAGTGCAGAGTCACGTAGATCCAGGATCTGTGGGAACATGGCAGGTTGCCTTGGCCCACGCGGGGCTGCTCCAGGAGTTAGACACTGAATCCAAGCAAGCAAGAGAGAAGTTCTCATGGTCTCTCCTATAAAAAGGTCACAGCTCCTCATCTAAGTTTTGAAGCTGTACAAGTTAGCAAATGCATATATTGTAGTCTAAAAAGATGTCTTACAATGTGTATTGTCGTCTAAACAGATGTCTCAACAGCTTTGAAAATAATGGCAGCATATGCGCAAATGTGCTTGACACATTGGAGGAATGTATGGACTGTGATAAGAGATATAAGAGCCCCCAATAAAAGTTTTTTTAAAAGATGTCTCAACAGTGTTCTAAATCCTATACCATTGACTAAAATAATGATACTATCAATAGAATGATCTAACGCCCCATGGGAACTCCAATGAAAAGATAACAGTGTCTCTCAAGTGAACCAGGGGCACATATATAGCTATATGAATGGATGTTGAGCTCGCACTTGATCTTAGCCCTAATACAAGACAAATTAGTTTTTGTGAGATGGCTCTGCTCAGTATTAGCCCTCAATGAGGCGATCACTGATTATATAGGTGTGTACTACAGCAAAGTGTGGCGAGGAAATCTGATGGCGCCTGGCTAATAGAAAAGAGTGTCTGGGGTCTTAAAAGCGTGTCTCAAACCAAGCAACCATGTAAATGAGCAGTCAGCTAAGTCCACAAAGAAGAAGCCCACCAGCCTGTGTGATCCAAGGAGGGAATGGTACTAGGCCTTAAATTCTAAACACTCGGTTTGAAGAATGCTAGGGATGATATTGGAAGCCCCAAAGCCATTTGCAGGGTCCCTACACGGACTGCGCCCTTGGTGCGACCCTGACCAGAGTCTAGGAATGTGGACAGCCTGCATATCAGACAAGGAACTTTGATGGGGAGGCAGATTGTAGCAGCTATAGTCAGGCTGGAATGCAAAACCTTGTCACTGCATCTCCCCTTTGACCCCCTTTGAGTTTATTTTGTTTTTAAAATATTTTCTGCTTCCTTTTTTCTTTTATGCCATCAAGGATTTATTCTTTCTTGGTTCTACAATCAAGACTCCTGGTAGAAGCAGTTAAGAAATCAAATGATAAAGTGCATCTGCTGCGCACGAACTGTCAAGTTCTAAAGAACATAGCTGTCACTTCGAGGACTAAGGTGCACCTGGTTGGAGACATTTCAATTACCTGACATGTGTAGGACAACTGGACAAGGCATACGAAAGATCAAAGCAAAAGGGATGATGTGTTTGTATTATAGTGTGGGTGAAGTATATTGAATACACCATGGACTGCCGGAATAAAGAACAAAGGTGTCTTGAAGTGTGGCCAGAATGTGCCTTAGAGACAAGGACGGTGAGACAACTCTTGCCACTTGCTTATGGTAGCAGAAGGGACAGTACCTGAAGAAGAGTGGCATCCTTGGCAAGACATTGTGTCGTTAAAAACAAAGAAATTTCTCAATGAGATTGATTAATACAAGGTCTGTGAGCTTGAGCTCAAATATAGTGAAATTCTGAAGGAGACCCACTACTTATTTGTGAGTTTGTGGTTCTGCAGCGGCTTGTGTGTTGCTTTGATGCTGGAAGCGTTATCGCTCTTATTGCAAATACCAGTAGGGTCACCCAAAGTGAACAGCTCTCATCAGAGCTTGCAGACCGAAGAACAGACTATGTAGAAGGACTAGACTGTCCACCTCAGAGGAATCAGCCATTAAAAACCTCATGAATAGCCCGGAACACGGGCAGATACTGAAAATCACGCATAGCAGTGGGACATCCTCACAGACAGAGCCAGATGACGAGTCCCTCAGGCCGGAAGACACGCAAAATACGACTGAGGAAGAGCTGCTTTCTCCAATGGCAAGTCAGCCCTGATGTCATGAACAGAGTAAACCTTTGGGGATCTTTATTTGCTGATGAAACATGATTAGAAACGAGAAGAGACAGCTGCAAAAGTCTAGTAACAGAGGGAAGATTTCATCTGTCGTCCTTGGACAAATCATCAAGAGAGACTAGTCCCTGGAAAAGGACATGGTACTTGGTACAGCAGAGGGTCATGGAGAAGAGGAATACTCTCAGCACAATGGAGCGACGCAGTCGCTATAGCAACATAAGAACAATTTGTGAGGATGGTCCACCGGGCAGCGTTTAGTTCTGTTGCACCAAGGGTCGCTTTGACAGAGCCGATTGGAGGGCACCTAACAACAAAAACTGTATGAAGAACACGGGGACAAACAGCATTTTTTTCCCCGTTGTGCTTCTTTTTGGTGGAGGCGTTTCTCCGCTGTTTAATTTGGTCAATGTGGCTGGGTCTGTTTTTGGTTTTGTCTGGCACGCTTTCCTGTATAGAGAAGTCAGCATGCGTGGATGGATCTACAAAGATAGCGACTGGGTTACTAATTACTTGGCGGCACCGAAAGGGGAGGTTGGGAGGAACAGGGGAGTCTACGGCTATGAGCACAAGAAGGAAGAAAATGTTCCCAAGTTGATGGTAGTGATGATTGTAAAGCCCTTCTTAATGTGATTGAGCTATTGAAGTGTCTGGTAATTATAGCTCAATACAATGATCCGAAGTACCTAAAAATAAGCCTTGGGGAGAACCTTTCCAAATCACAAAGATAAAAAGGCTACACTCCCAGGGAGGCACAGCAGGCTACCACCTGATTGACAGGTTGGACTCTACTCCAACCTTCACACCCAAACCACAAAACCAAACCCACGGCTCCTAGCGACCCTATAGGACAGGCGAGTTTCGGAGGGTGTGATGACACAGGAGTAGGAAGCCCCGTCTTTCTCCCATGGAGCGGCTGCTGCTTTCCAAGTGCAGCCACTACGCTACCAGGGCTTCTCACAGATACCGTCAAGTTGACAGAAAATCTAACCAACACGCCCTATTTCTTTATTCGGGTATATGTTTATTTCTCAGTTTGTGAAAATCTCCTTACTTTGTTGATGCCGCCCACACACTTCAACTCTGATTGCTCGGCACAAAGAACACACGAGGATCTGCTTTGCCACCACCTTCCTGCCGCCTGTAGCATGCTGCACTATGCTCTGTGGCGACAACAAAAGAGGAACCGAACAACAGGTATTAAATACGGACAAATGTTCACAGTTTATTTATTTATTTTTTTACTGTGCAACCCACTTCAGTGCCTTAAGCCTACCAGGTAAAGCCAGGCAATGGTTCGGGGTGACGGTTTGCTTTGGCATGGGACACTGTGAGAGGCCCATGGGATCAGACCTGCCACAAATCCAAACCCATGCACTGTTCACAGTTTATTACAATATATTTTAGTCAACCATTTAAGGCAGCGGTTCTCAACCTGTGGGTTGCGACCCCTTTGGGGTTGGATGACCCTTCCACGGACTTGCCTGATTCCTAACAGTAGCAAAGTGACAGTTATGAAGTAGCAACGAAAATAATTTTATGGGGAAAAAAGGAAAAGAATTTTATGGTTGGGAGGTCACCACAATATGAGGAACTGTAGGAGGGTTGAGAACCAGTGATTTAAGGAATTTGAAGCCATCAGTTGTTCCACTGCCATTTCAAGTGCATCTGGGGCCTCAGGAATGGCAGTGGAGCTAGCTGTTGGCGTAGCTAGAATTGCCGGCAAAATTCACGCCTATTTTGAGAGCACACAAGGGGATCATGCGAAAATGGACCCCACTGGTTTCATTCTCATCAAACTGCCCTGGGCCACTCAACATGGCTTTTGTCATTCCTTATGTTAGTGCATAACCTCTTTTCACGATAAGTTCATGGCCATCAGAATGTCAATTTGACAGACACGGTATCCAGGCCTTCACAGCCCCCAGACACTTTCTCCTCTTCATGCTTTCTGCTCTTAGGAAACTACCTCACTTCCACCAAAGCTCAGTAGCTTCCTGGTGAGGGGACACACTGAACCTCTCGCTGGCCTGTCTCCATGTGTACTGCCATAAAGTCCAGTCCGAGCAATCATTGTTTGTTTGCTGCTTGGCTTTCTGTAGGGAGTTTCCATTACAGCATTGCTTCTCACCCATCTATGACCCACACAGCAGCTGATGGTTTTTGTTTTTTTTAAATGAAAACCAGATGATATCACTTCTCTGCTTCAAAACCGTCAATTATTTTACTCTACATTTAGAATCAAATCGGAGAAACGAAGTCCTGCCTGATGCTTGTCACATTATTCTGAGGGAAAGCAGTCAGTCACAAAAAGACAGATACGTTGTGCTCTCACTCACATGAATTTGACAAACATAGAAATCAAAGCTTGCTAGTGGTTACCAGAGGCGCCCTAGTGGAGAACTGGGTTATGTGTTTGGGCTGCTAATCTCAAGGTCAGCAGTTCAAAACCTCCAACCACTTAGTGGGAGAAAGACAAGGCTGACTTGGAAAGCCAGGGGCAGTTTTATCTTGTCCTGCAGGGATTGCTATGAGTCAGTGAGTTTGGTTGTTCTTGGAGGGGTGGGAGAGAGATGCACTGTTTTGGTTTTGTGTTGATGCAAATAGTGGCTGAATAAAGATTAAGATAATAGTTGCACAATGTGAAGTTATCAGTGTCACCGAGGTGGATGTCTAGAAATTGAATTGACCAATGTTTTTGTGATCCATATTGTGGTTGT